GTGTCTCTCACATCAATGTTTCTCTCTCTCCCTCACTCTCTCTCCCTTCCTCTCTCTCTAAAATCAATAAACATATCCTCGGGTGAGAAAAATCATCAGAAAGATTTCCTAGTTTTAAAGAAACTGATAAAGGAAGGCAGCATGTGACTACATTTACCAGTACAGTGTGATCCAGGGAAGTCTTAAATGCATCACTCCCCTTTGAGAAATATTCTCAGCTGATGCCTGGAATTCCATTATCCAAGTTTCCTCTTGGCTTAAGTCCTCTAATACCTGTCCTAATCCATAATCCTCCAAAACAAGTGAAGCATTATGTTATAAGTAAGTCAAGCCTCTGGTGAATGTCTATTTGAGGAAGGTTTGGACCAGAGACTTGAGAGGAAATAGAAAGCTAAAGTCCTCACATTGTGACAAAGTTGGGAAGACCAGGAAGCAGGTCCCTTTCATTGTTTTGCTCTATGTTTACAAATAATTGACAAAGAAAAAAAAAATGACTCCAGTTAAAAAATTAATGCTATCTTCCCAAATGGTGGTTCTTGGTTACGTATTTGCCCAGAAAAAAACAATCCCCAAGAAAAATGTGGGCACCTAAAGATGAGAGAAGAGTCTTGTCTTATGGGCAGCATTTGGAGAAGGCAAGGAAAGTGACATTTGAATTAGTATATCATTTGAATGATTTTATTTTGCTGGTAAGTTTATGTCATTCTTTTCAGTCCTCTAAATTAACCCATGATTCAAGGATCATTATTATTCCCACTTAAACAAACAAACAAACAAACACAAAGCAACTGAGAAGTTAAGACACTTGTCTCTGGTTGCACAGCTGGTCAGGCAGACGTGGGTCTTCCTGACATGAGAGTTCTGTTTCTGTCCCATTCTGCCTCACCAGAGCAGAAAGCTCAAATTCTGCTGTTTCAAGAAGCGTAGAGATGTCCTCTCGCATGGGTACCAGACATATAACGTCTCACTAATGTATCTACCGGGCTAGCTGAGCAGCCAAGGGGCAAATGTTATGGAGCAAAGAGGAGCTATTATGCTGAGGAGCCAGGGAAAACACTCCCCTTTGAAATCCACAGGAGCATTGCATGACCAAATGTGCAGAAACAAATCTCTATTGGTTCATGGCTTGGAGAAATCGGTCATGCCATTGGCTGTTCAGTGTTGGGGTTGGGGTTGGGGAATAAAAGCCTTCTGTGGAAAGCCAGGGTGAGTGCAAAGCCATGAAGCCTAGTCATGAAGCCTCTGGAGTCTTAGAGTTGAGCTTGTGTGCTTCTCTTCTACTTACGAAGAGACTCGACCTCTCTGAACCTCAACTTCCTCGCCTGTAAAATGGGGATTGTGATTAAATAAGATGGCGCATCAAATGCCTGAAATATAGGAAATGCTCAAAAACATTATCATTTTTTTATTTTGCCTGCCCCCCGCCTCTCTCTTTGAAAGTCACAATCCAAAAATCTATTTTATACAAAAATTAACATAAAGAGAAAGGAGCTATCAAAGCCACTCACACAAGCTTGCCTTTTCACATGTATATGGGCGCCTGTTGGATTGTGTTGGACACATGTCCAATGTCCCGGATGAAGGTTTGGAATGTGAGGACAGCTTTGAACATGGCCAAGGAGGGAGACAAGGCCAAGTGAAATTCTGTGCCTTTTACCCTGAGCAACGCAGACAGAATAACAAGGAAGAACAAAGTCATGTTTTACTTGGTGTCTCTCTTTCTGGTGGCTTTTGTGTGGTTTCCTTGGAAGGTTTTACCCTGGTATTTTTCAAAAATAGCACCGTTGTTTGGGATGATTACAGGCGATCACCAGTTCCCAGAGAAGGAACTATGTGTGGCTCGCTGACGGGCGGCTCCCCGGTGCCCAGCTGGGGAAAGGTACAGCTGACCTGTTGTTTACCACCTATCAGGTCTTGTAAGATCCAGGAAGAATGGCCCGGGGGCCTTTGGAGAGACTGACCAAGAAGGATGGCTTGTGAGGGGGGAACCCACGCTCTCATTTGAGAATCTGAGTGAGTTTTGACAGTGGAACATCAACCCATCCAACAGAAGAGCAAACCTGATAGCAGGCTCACCTGACAGATGGTGAAGGCACAAATGTTTCTTAAAATCCATGTTTGAAATCAATGAGCATTAAGAAATCAAAGGAGATCATCTGAGTTCAGAGGAGAAGCCTTTTTTGGAAATTTTGAAGCCACACTGTCCAGTAAAGCAGCCACCAGCCATGTGTGACTACTGGGCACCGGAAATGTGTCAGGTCCAAGTTGAGATGTGTTATCAAATACATGATTTCACAGACTTAGTATAAAAAAGTGATATATCTCATTAATTTTTTGTGGTGATTCCATATGGAAGTGATAATATTTTAAGTATATGGGTTAAACAGAATATATTCTTAAAATTAATTGTACTTGGTTATTTGTTTTTTGCCTTTTTTAGTGTGGTTACTAGAAATTTTAAATACATATTTGGCTCACATTAAGTTCCTGTCAAACTGTGGGACTTTAGAATTTCATGTATAATTTGTATCCCTATTCATAACTCCAGTTACCATTTACCTCCGCTCATACCCTAGTTATGATGATCTCAGGCTACTGACAACCAACACTTATCCAGAACTTTTCCACCCCAGGGATTTATGCTCTTGCCATTCACTATCCCTAGGATGCTCACTCCCCAGACCTTCTCATGTCTGACTCCTTTCTCAGCTTTCTGATCTTTTCTCAAATGCCCTCCCTCTAGAAAGGCCTGCCCTGACCACACGTTGATCACATCAATCTGTTCTATTGTCTTTATAGCACTTGTTGGTTTTGATTGCCTTCCCAACTAGACTGTGAGCTCCATGAGAAAGTCTACTGTGTTCGTCTCTCTGTTACTGCCTTCAGAACAGTGCCCAGCTCATTGCTGGCCTGCAATAAATATTTCCTGAATGGCTAAATGCATTAGCCTTAAATCTGATGGAGACTGGCTTCTATTCTCAGAAAACACGGGACTAAGTGAGTTCCAAAATGTCTGCAAATGGAGCCGTCGTATTACTGCCATGAGCCCTTTGTTGCATTTCACTGTGTGTACTGCTAAGGAAATAGCCCACCAGAGATAGAAAAAACAAGATAACCTCAAAGCTGAGACACAATGTTTACTGGTAGCAAAATGGCTTTTGAAAGGACTGCTCCTTTGTACTCTTCTGTTGTTTGTTTTTTTTTTTAAAAAAAAAAACACATTCTAAAGACTGTGATTATGGGTAGGATCAGGGCATATATTTCTAGCTGTGGAAGACCCTAAGTGAAAAGATAGTCTGAGTCAAAAGGGCATATGTTTACAGAGGCTTTTAAAGGGAGACTGACCTCTTCATACAATGCTAGATTACAACGTGGCCGTAGACCACTGCGTGGAGCAGATGCTCGTTTTTGTTGGTCTATATCCTATAAATGTGTGTGGGGAAGACACATCCATTCCAAATGGTTAACCTTGACTGCTTCAGGATTGTGGAGAGGGTAGGATAATAAGACACTATAAATAGTTTCTTCATAGACCTCCATGTTGTTTTATTTCTTGAAATGACCATGGAGAGATTTTTGTACTTTCAAAAATAAATGAAGTAGATTTTAGAAAGAAAATTTAAACAGAAATACCAGAAAGCTTCCCTGTACTTGATAGGAGGCACTTCTCACATTTTGACTTTTTTTTTTTTAATTAGTTCTGTGCCTCAGCTACTAAATAAAGTACAGGCCAGCAAACAATCTGGGTACCAAAAAATGAGAGGTAAAGACTGATCTCACTTCTGGCCAATTTGATGGTGCCATAGCTGTCTGAATACCACCAGCCAAGTGCACTCATATATCACAACTCTCTTGTCAGAGGACTTCCTGAACCTCTTTAATTGAGAGGGTGTCCTTTATTGAGGGCAACTATTAAAAACAATGTAATTACACCTTTTTTCCCTAATCAACCCTTAAAAGGTAGGCGTTATTATTCTCACTTATCAGATATGGAGACTGAAGTTTAGGGAGGTTGGTAAATTGTCCAAGATCATGAAGCTAGTTAGAATCAGAGCTCAACTTTGAACCTAGTCCTTTCCAAGCTTTTACCTAGTTCACCACCACTTGTTGTCTCTTTGGAAGGGATGAGGTGTAATGAAGTGTTTGTCCACTGGTTCCACAGATTAATTAAGCTTTAATTTCAACAGAAGCCTAATTCTAGGCTCCTGTGAAAGGTTTCTGATCTCAAAAAGCTTTTCCCCAACTGGCCTTGCATGAGCCCAATAGTCCATCAATAGAATCAGTCCTATTGGGTAACATCCCCTGGGACCCACTCTGCAAGGACAAGGACCCTCACAAACAGGTAACATGTAACATCATTATAAATCATGAAGACCATTGTGTGAAATAGTTTTCAAGGAAATATATCTAACAAGCTTCTAAATGAAAAAGACAAATGGGCCGGTAAGATCTTCTGGGGGTGTGTTGAAGGGAGAGTTATAGAGCAGATTCAGGAACATGCTACAGGGCTGTCACTGTGGGACTGTGGACAACTAAGGGGCACGGAGAAGCCAGATGTAGAACAGAAAGATACCACTAAAGGGATACATCACCATCCAGATCAGGCCTGAGCTAATTACTGACTTAATAAGGCTATGGATAGACACAAAGCAGAGAAAACTGGCACATGTGTGGCTGGTTTCCCATAGACTGTGCTACCCATCCCAGGTTCAAGTTCTGCAAATGCTGCTGTATGCCACAAGCTCACAGAAATGTAAGACACCATGCTCCATGAGTGGAAATCAGTCACTTCATCAAGAAGGCGATTCAAAGAGCACGTTCTCCTAGGACTCTGCTCAGGGTCCTTCTCAGACAATGAGGCCAAGGAGTCGCTTCTGGGTATTTGGAGGGTTGGTTTACAAACCTAATGGATCTTACCTAGTAATGGATTTCCGGAAGTAACCTGGATAAAAATAGTGTCTGCTCTCTTTTTAAATGGGGTGTGCTTTCCCCTCCCACAGAAAAAGCGCACCTTGAAGGGCTCTATTGAACTCTCCAGGATCAAATGTGTCGAGATTGTGAAAAGTGACATTAGCATCCCTTGCCACTACAAGTATCCTTTTCAGGTAAGTCATTGTGCCTGAGGGCACCAGTTCCTCATACCTTATATATGATGGTTGAAAGTCTCAGTCATTGTAACAGAAGATGAGACAGGGATGACTCTGGTCTAGCATTAGAACTTAGACAAGCGGCAGGGGAAAAGCTGCTGTGTTCTGTCAATCAATTACACTTTCATTCATTCATTCATTCATTCATCCATTCAACAAAGATGACAAATGACAAAATCTTGAAAAAAATTGTCATTCCTCATTCTCCTTTTCCTTATGTCTTTCCTACCTCAAGGAAAGTCGTGGGGGGAGGAAAAAAAACTAGCGAGGGCCCCAAGCCTAATGTTCTTTAAGTGCAGTTTAGTCATGACTTGGGGCGACCAATTGCAACTCTTGGTTAGCAATTGCTTGGGGGTGCTGAGGTTAAAAGGGATCAGATTTTACCATCTGAGAACTAGCCGGCATTATGCGGTCCAATACAGTAGCCACTGGCCACATCTTATTATTTGCATTTAAATGTGAATTTATTTAAATTAAACTATTAAAAATTCAGCCCTGAGTCACATTGGACACATTGAATGAATGAACACTTTATATGTTCAATAGCCACACATGGCTAGTAGCCACAGGTGATAGAATATTGCAATCACTGCAGAAAGTTCTATTGGAAGAGCTTTCTGTCCAGGTGATAGAAAGTTCTATAGGGCAGAGCAGGTGGAGGGTATCTTTAGCCTTTAGGTCATGATATTGCCTACATCTTATTACCACTCTTGGCATTTGTAGCTCTCCAGGAGTGGATAACTCCTTGAACATCCTTGGGTATCATTCTTGTTTGACAATCTGGGTGGCATAAAAAAAGACTTCTGTCATACTAGAAAGGTGACTTCCATGGGGTTGGAATTTTTAGGTCTAAAAGTAAAAGGAATAACGTATATTTTCCTGTCATTAAAATTCCAATTACAAGTGAGTGCAAGACAAAAACCGGCAAAATTCAAAGAAGTTCTGTAGTTTACTTAATAGTTTTGTACCAGGGTCAGTTTCCTGGTTTTGAAAATGTGCTGTGATTACATAAAAGGTTGTCACTGGGGAAAGGTGGGTGCAAAGTACGCAGGAACTCTGTACTATTTTTGGAACTTCTTGGGTGTCTTACATTGTTTCAGAATGAGAAGTTCTTAAAATCCCAGTTAAACATTTGTCATCTACTAAGGTAATATCTTACTCTTTCATATGCCAGAAAGACTTCCTTTCCTGAAAAATTAACATGAGAAATAAAGGTGCTGTCAAGAGAACTCTCTCTTCAGCTGTTTGAATTTAGTGATGGCTTACCTGGTGACAAGCAGCCTAAGCTGTGGAGGTTCACTCTGTGTCTGGACAGCACCCCAAAGTCTGAATGAAAAGGACACTGGTCCCCCGATCATCCAGAGTTTGCTTTTTTGACAACAAACACTGAGGTCTCCTTCTTAGCCCAGGAAGCCAGGTGGGCCTGCGGTCAGTCATGCATCTCCAGGCACACCACTCACCTTGAACTCTGTGTGTGTCTCCAGGTTGTGCATGACAACTACCTCCTGTATGTGTTTGCTCCAGACCGTGAGAGCCGGCAGCGCTGGGTGTTGGCCCTTAAAGAAGGTAATTAACCTCCTGTGTGGCTGGGTCCTAAGATCCCTTGATCCTCTAGCAGGCTTGGGTTCCACAGTAGAATAAAGGGCAGCTGAGGGCCAAACATTTCTTCCTTTTGATGTTGCTGGAAGGTCCAAACCTTTCACTCTGGGCCCAAATGGCAACAACCAGTCTAGTGCAGGGTCAGGAAATCCAGCCCCCCACTGGTTTTTGGTTTAAGGTTCCAAGCTAAGGATGATTTTTTTAATGGTTTCATTTTAAAGGGTAATATAAGTACCTACATAATATATCAAATCTGCCTGCTGATGAGCAACCTGAAATATTTACTATCTGGCCCTTTAAGAAAAAAGTTTGCTGCCTCCTGGTTCGGGGTGAAGAATAAGAGCATGGACCCTCCCGTTAGATGACCTGGACTTGAGTCCTAGCTCTGCCACTTGCTAGCCATGTGTGCCTGAGCAACTTCCTCCACTGCTCTGTGCTTCAGTTTCCCCATCTATTTTTAAAAGGGGGTGTAGGAGGGAATAATAATAGTGCCTGCCTTCAGAACTGCTGTGAGTAAAGCCCTTGGAGCTAGCTGGCCCAGAGTCAGCGCCCAATAAATGTTAACTAGCTTTAAATGCTGTCAGGCCAGCAGCGAGGGTATTTCTTAAGGCTCACCTTTCTGAAAGCATAATTAGAACCAGCACAGCGTTTGGGTCCGTGCGATATGGAGCCAGGCTGCTAAGGTGAAAATCCCACCTCACCATAACCTTACTTTAAAGCCACAAATCTAGAAGGGATAAAAGCAAAGTTGCTGTGGCTGGAAGTGGCGGAGATAGGAAGGGGGAATCCCAACTACTCAGTCTTCCCATTACCCTAAGGCGCTTTGCGGTGCCCACTGAACCAGTCTAACAACCTCATTGTACACTGGGGAAACTGAGGCTCGGACAAGGGTTTTGCCCAACCTAAGGACATACAACTAACCCAAGGCAGAGCCAGAGATCTGCTGATACAACGGGCACTCCTGCATACATGTATATGCCTGGGAAAAGGTCCGTTTTTCTGACTATTCTGAGTACGAGTCACTCAGTTCACACAGATGGGCCCAATCTCAATCAAGCTGTTATCAAGTTAGTAGTCCTCCATAGGCTGATCTGGAAATAACTCTTCACTGGTGCCAACCCCTTTCAGAAACGAGGAATAATAACAGTTTGGTGTCCAAGTATCATCCTAATTTCTGGATGGATGGGAGGTGGAGGTGCTGTGCTCAGCTGGAGAAGCTTGCAGTGGGCTGCACCCAGTACGATCCAACCAAAAATGGTAAGTTCTCTTTCTTCTTT